CTTGATGACGAAATACAAAAAATGACATAAAAAATAGTTTAATTTATATTATTTTTAATTATATATTAATTTTTGTAATATAATTACTAAACAATCCATTCATTTATATAACATTAAAATTTAAATAAAATCAATTCAAATCCGAAAATAATAAAAAATAAATTAAAATGCCATATGAAATAAATTATAATTATAATCATAGTTGATTATCATAATTTATTAAACATCATAATCATGTTATTATTTAATGATATAATGAAAATAGTATAGCACTAATACACTACTTATTAATTTTATTTCTAATATTATACGCTTTATTTAATTCAACACTATGTTCTAATGAATTGATTAAAATAAATATATTTTGTAATTTATATTTACTTATAATTTAATACATCCCTTTTTTACCATAAAGATATCAAATACATCCCTTATAATATAATAAATAAAATATATAATCAATTTTATTTTATTTTATTTTATTTTATTTTATTTATCTATCCTTATTTATTTATTACAATTATCATTAATTTTTAATATACATAATTTTTATCATTAAAATAAAAATATAAAATATTAAAATACAGAAATAATAAGACAATTTCTAAATTTATATTCAGGTAAATACACATATATAAGTAAGATTAATTTTTAAAAAATTATTGCGAATAGTCTCTTTTACTATTTTAATTTGTAATTTAAGTATCTATAATATCTGTTTTAATCATTTTATACCTAAAATTATTAACAATTTTCTAAATACAAACATAAATTTAAATAAATAATAATTATATTTAATTTTCTAAATACAAATATAAATTTAAATAAATACTAATGCACATTTCTGATTACTAATTACGTTTACCCAAATAAATATTTATATTCACTAAATTTATAAAATAAAATAATTTAAAATAAAATCTAGGTGTGAAGGTGATAGCGACTTTTGGCGAAGGTGGCAGGGGCGACACACAGAGGCAGTGGCGATAAAACCCACAAACACTGGCAGTGGCAACAATACAGGCATCAACTCGGGCTTAGATGCGACTGTTGATAGCCAAAAAAACACTTCAAGCGATGACACAATGTGTTAATTTATATAAAAGACAATGTCAACATGTGTTTTAAAATGAGTTAATAAGCTAGCAATTAGGCATTTTGTTTTTCTAGAGAGTGGGAATTATAATAGGATGGAATCACCGTCTTTACTACTATTATCTGCCTAAGTTTGAGAGAAGCTTATATGACATTATAGTTTCTACTGATAATGGTCTAATTAGAGATCATCATACAACATTTAAGGAGTTATTCACAAAAATTTATACACCCAAAAATCCTGCAACAACTGTACACATCAATGATGAATATGAGTTTTTAAATCTTGACCTATTTAACAATTGACATGCAATGTTGGACAATCGTAACTAAAAGGGGAGGGTGCAAAGGATCAAGTGAACACAATCTTTAGAGACATTGATACCACACGACTGCTTTATTTTATTTTCAACTCTAAACATAATGCCAAAGGAATTAGGGCACTTTATATAATTTATAACAATAGAACAATATGAAGTGCCTTTCTTACATGAATTGTTTTTTCCAAATGTAATTATGCATGTCAAATTCACTAATCTTAAATAACTTGTGAGTTTTTTCTTCTATTTTTCTTATGTTGTCTGCATTTGTGTCATCCTCAAATACTTGTGTTCAGTTATACATTTTCTAGTGTCTTTCAATCTGCTGACCATTGCTCTTTGGTTTAGTATTTAGGGTTTAAAATGCAAACGAGAGCGGCTAATAAAGACGGCCAACAAAAATGTCAATATTATCACAACCCGAAAATAGGCGAGTGACCAGAGCACAGGTTAAATTATCCATAAACATCACTTAACCTATCAAACCTACTTAGAAACCAACATGAGACAATAGACCCTTTCAATCAAGTAATATGATAAATTTACTAAAAGTTTGACTATAGTTTCCTCTTTATTTTCATTATTTCAAATTATAAGGATTTATAAACATTTGATTTATAATTCAACCAAAACTAATCAAATTCTAACATATTTTAATATGAAAACTAGAACATCTAATATATATCAATAATAAAAAAGTTTAATTCCTTAATAGTTACATCATATTTAGGCTTAAATATGTTATTAGTCCCTATAAATATAGGCCATTTTGTGATAAATTTCTATAAATTTTTTTGTTAAAAAGTAGTCGCTGAAAAATTAAAAATTTAGAAATTAGTCCCTACCATTAACTTCCTCTATTAAATGTTGAGCTGACTGATGAAAAACCAATTCAGTATTGACACATGACGCCATGTGACTTGCTACGTCATTTAATTTTTTAATTAATTAAAATAAATATTTATAAAAAAGTCTATAGACATGTTTTATATATTTGCAAAAAAAAAAAAAAAAAAACTTCTTCAAATTTCTCTCCCTCAATAGCATGGCCAGGCAGACTGTTCCATCATTAGGCCCCTCAATAGCATGGCCAGGTAGGTCGTTCCATTATCAGGCTTAAACCACAGTGTTTGAGAGAAAGAAAAAAAACTCCTCCTTGTGAGAACTAGGAATCTAGCTCCCAACGATGTTCTCGTGAAGAGAAAATAAAATTTTTAGTGGGAAGAAAAATCAATGTATTGTATTGGTTTCATAAGGCACTCAGCCCTCTTTGAGGGGGTGCACCTAAGGAAGGAGGTAGCCCCTACTTCTTTTTAAACACAACCCCACCTCCAACCCACCCCAAACCTCCACCTTCCTCACCCCAACCCCTTCCTTCAACCACTCTTCTCCTCTCCCACCCCATTTTCGGCACCGCTTCTCCTTCCCACATTCCTACCCCTTTCTAGCATCTATTCCTCATTCTCATCCTTATCCTACCTCTCTAAATCTAAAAAGTTACATAGTATTACAAAAAAAGAATCAAATGACATAAAAAAACCTCTCTTTGCTTTCGTTACAAGGGAGGCGCGGATAGACTGACTAAGGAATAGAATCGCATCTGCCTACATGAATGGTCTACAAAAATGAATCAATCGGATCGGAGGAATACCTTTATGAATGAGGTAATTAGCAACTCTAGATGATCCAACTTATTTGAAGGTGGCCCCCTTCTCTTTCAATGGAAGCATGCAGCAAGACTACGGGAGCTATACTTCTTTGTCTTTCAGAAGCTAGTGAGACAATGGGTCTAGCTTGGACTCCCAAAGTTTTAGCCTACACACTACTTCCTATAGAAAATCATACGTTTTACTTCCTCTCATTTCACTCGTCGCTTCCGCTGCCTGGAGGTTGTAACAATCCTCAGTTTCTAGATATACCGCACTCTACCTAAATAACTCACTAGCTTCTTTGCTCGCTGGATTGCTCCTTCGTGGTCTCATTTTAGCTCTTGTCCCCCTAGTGAGTTACTTGGGGAAAGATAACGCAATAGCTCCTTCAAAGGTACAAGGGGAAATTCTCTCATTTGACCTTCATCCACCATTCTTAGTGGAAGGCCTTCGAATTTCATGAGCTTATCAACGAAAGAGACTTGCAAAGGAAAGAATTCTTACTATTATTGGTATTACATGGAGCCACCTTATCAAAGCTTCTTCCTTCTGGTTGAATAGGGGATGGGGTATATAGAGGAGAGAAAGGAGAAAGAGAAAGAGAAAGAGAGTTTTTTTGTAAATATTAAAAATATGTTAGGGACTTGTTTGTAAATATTGATTTAAAATAAAAATAAATAAATAATAAATAAATTATATGGCATACACGCGACGCCACATGTGAGTGCTGAACTAGCTAACAGAAAGTCAGCTCAACACTTAACAAAAGGAAGTTAACGGAAGGGACCAATTCCTAAATTTTCAACTTTTTATAGACTACTTCTTAACAAAAATATTTATAGGGACTTATCACAAAATGACCTATATTTATAACGATCAATAACATATTTAAGCCTAATATTTAAAACATAATAAAAATAAAAATGTCAAGGTCATAAAAATAATAGAGGTCAACCAATAGAGATTCTATTTGATGATATGTAAATATTAAATAAATAAATGATGAATCACACAAATCTAAAAAATCACATTGAAAAAGAAAGAGAAAAAAAAATCACAGGAGTAGTTTGCAACCATAGATCTCAAAGCATACCATTTTAAAATAAATTTATTCTAACTACTCTATTAAAAGTCTGATCATACTTACAAGTTTACAAATTTATACCGTTAAAAAAAATATCATTTCAATCATGAGTACTATAAATAAGTACATATATACTTGAATTAAATAATATTAGTTTTCTAAAACATCATCAAAGTAAGTGTCAATCCAATGATAAGAGGGTCATTCATGAGAGACCGAAACTCTAAGGTAGTTCCACCTCATTAATATCCCTTTTCTCTCAAGGGCAGATTCTACCGGGGGTAAATCCATTTAATGTGTAGTTCTATCTAGATGACAGCTGCTAATGAAAAAAAATTGAAAAACCTGTTGTGCATCCTTGTCTTCTGCTTTTGCATAGTCTTGGAAAACCTATATAATGATCCTAATGTTGCAACACTCGAGGCGGAAAGAAATGTTGTAGGCAGATAATGCTTATGTTTTAAACTATTTACCTTTCTCAAAAAGAGATCATAAGAAACAAAAAGAAAAATAAAAGTTCCTATACATACTTCCTATACAATCAAGGGTAATAGAGTCCACTAAAAGGGATACAGCATTGAAACTAATCATGTAAGGTTCATCATGATCAGTTATTATATGAAGCATTAGCAATTTAGCAGTGATTGAACAAATTCTTCAAAGTAGATACAGCAGATGGACGTTAAGTTGGGTAGAAGAATGATATTTATGTCAAGACTCAAATATATCAATGATTGTTACTGTAACAACTGAATAAAACATATGCTTTTTAATCAAAGTAATGTGATAGTGAACCATCACGTATGTGAAACTAACCAAAAAAATTCACCATAGAAAGCGTCTAAACTACACTTACTCTTGCAAGAGGCCTCTAGCAACCATGTCAAGTAGAAGTTTCTCTGCCTTACCATGCTCATGCTTTTCAAAGAGAGCACGAATAATTATTTCAAAAGTTACAGCGTCGTCAGGAGAGTAACCACTGTCTTCCATTCTTGACTTCAAGGCCAACGCTTCATCAAGTAAGCCCTCCCTACAAAGTCCACTAATCACAACATTATATGAACGAACATTAAGATGATAGCCTTTAACTAAAAGATCCTCAAAAGTATCTATTGCATCCTTAAGTCTTCCACTTTTGCATAATCCATCAATAAGTATCGTGTTTGTGTATGCATTTGGATGAATGCCCTTGTCTATAACTTTATTTAATAATGCAATTGCCCAATCTACGTGATGGTTTTTGAATAATGCATGTATTAAGGAATTGTAGGTAATTATATCAGCAGGTTGGTCCATCTGAAATCCTTGTGCTATTGTCTTGTCATGCAGATGCAGTGCTTTTCTCACATTATTAATAAGACAGAGACCATTCATGAAAGTGTTAAAGGTTATGGTATTTGGCTGATAACCCAATTTGAAGATCTTGGCCAATACCGAATAAGCTAAGGTCACGTCACGTGACGCAGTTGGCATAAACAATTGACATAAATATTAAAAGTAACAATGGTTGGCTCAATTCCCTTGGATCCCAATTGTTGAAAAAGGGCAATGGCAATGTGGAAATGCTTAGTCTTAGATAGGGACGCCAGAATCTTGTTAAATTCAACGATGGATGGGGAAAGACGCATATTGAGCATGCGATTGAATGAGGCAACAGCATCATTAACATTGCGAATAAATGGAGGTGAAGAGTGGGTGTGAAGCTTTGCAGGGTAAGAAAGAGGAAAAGAGAGAAACTTGAAAAGAGTGAGGGAGAGAGCATACCTCAACCTTGCCAGAGACATCTTCCGTATATCCCAAAATTGAAATCAATAGTGAAAGAGTGGATTTAGACTTTCAGAGGTTTAGATGGATGGATGAACTCGTCTGCTGCTCTTAATTTTAGGAGTGAGTGAAACAAATACAATGAGTAAATTGAATTTGTTACACTAATTACAACGGACCGTGAGAATAATATTTATATTATTATCATAAAAATTAATCATTATTATTAATATAAAATTTATTAATAAAATAATAATGTTAATATATTTAACTTAAATTTTAAGTAATAAGTAACATAAAAAAAATGAAATAATATAAATTTTATTGAATAGAGTTTATAAAAATAATTTCAAATTTATTTTAATAAATTATTTGGTATACTTGTTAAAATAACTTCTTTTTATTTTATTTTAAAAAAAATGGTCAAATATACTTATATAATTGTTTGTATAAAATAAATTATTTAATGAGTTATTCAATATAACTTATTAAAATAAACGCTTTTAATTTATTTAAAATAATTTATCATTAAGTATACAGTATAAATTTTTGAGTAATAAATTTTTTATTAAATTAGTATTTAAGTTACATTTTTAAATATGTATTTTTAAATATTATTAAATTAACTACACTATAGTATTAACATGACATAATATATATATATATATATATATATATTAAATACATGATAAATTAATATGCATAATTATATATTATATATAATTTAAATATTTATTAATTATTTTATTTTAAATGTATCCTTAGAATTCTTTTTTTTTTATTTTGTTTACAAAATTGTTTGTAATTGTGAACAATGTTGACTAAAAATTATGATTTAATTTTTTGAATATTTATTTATATTGAAATGATATTATTATATATAAACTTAAATAATAATTAATCCATAAATATTAAATTATTAAAAATAAATAAATAAAAATTTTATTATAATTGATTAGATTTAATTTTTACAAATTATCTCATAGTCATAAAATTTTAAAAACGAAAGAAAATATTAATTGTATACTGTATTTGACAAAATTTAATTGAAATTAATTATATATATAATAAATCCTTGTTGGTGCCATAAAAATGCTTGGTGTGCTTTCTGTGTTAAGGAGACTAAAAGCATGCATTCATGTTGTGTCTGTTTGTGTATATTAAACTGAATCCATATAGATATCTTAAAAATGCTTTAATTTTTTTTTATGCTGATTTTTTAGCCAAGTAAAAGAGTAACAGATAAATTATGGCTTCACCCACCATTTTAATCTTGCATGGTCCACTAGTCATCACTATTAACACAAAATTAAGCCACAGTTAACTGAAAAAAAAGAAAAAGAAGAACCCCTGCTTCCTGTACACACATTTTGGAGTCTCTATCTCGATGTGAAAGCAAAAGGCTGCAAATCGAGTATCTGTCATTGATCTATAAGTAATTACTTCAGTAAGCCTCTAGCAATCACTTCACAAAAAGTTTAAGGTTTGAAAAATGGAATTGTTGTAAATGATCTATATTATCACTTAGTTATGAATTGATACATCATAAATATTTTTCCGTTAATAAACTTTATCATAGTGAAAACGAAACCGATTCAAAGTTGAAAAGGAAAGTTTGAAGTTTGAAGTTTGAACATGAACAAATTAATGCTTGAAATAAATAAGGCCTTAAAACCTTGGAGATACCCTTTTGATTTATTGCACTGCCCAGCTGCCATAGACTTTTCTGGCGAGTATTTATGCTATTAAAGTCCATTGAATTTGTTTTTGTACTGTGTATAGTTGATGAATTTTGACTGCAAACAAATTTCACAGCACCTTCTGCTTAGCCATTACACTTCATGATCACGAAAGATTCTGGGACCCATATCAGTTACCAATATAATACGAACAGGATCATTAGTTAGTCATAGAATTATGAATGGCTCATTGATGATAATATATGTTTGGTATATAAATGAAAATAAGGTAAAAAATATTGGTAGTATATGTGGTGTACCGTGTATATTTAAAGTTAACTTGAGCGCACAATTTTTAAGAAACTGATTACAATTTTTTAAGGTAAACAAATAACAAATAATTTACTAATAATCAATCTCAATTGCATCTTTATAGGATATATTAAGCAATAAATTACTAGGGTGTTACAATATAAGGCTAACAAAATTGAGGGTGTAACGATTAAAATGAAAAATAAGAGTTCCAAAAAAAAAAAAAATATTAAAAAAGAAGAAAGATAGAGGAACAAAACAATATCAACATTTTCTATTGATATTAATAGAAAAAAAATGCATGATAACAAAAAATATAGATATAAATAATATTAAAAAGAGGAGAAAAAAATGTACTGTTGACTACCCTTGGAGGCACTACCATTGGCTGCATTTTCTATTGTTACTTGGGGTACCCCTCTACCTTTATAATCTTTTAGATATCAACATTTTAAGTTGAGTACAAAAAGAGTAGTATGAGAAATGAAAGCCCTAGTCTTCTTTCTATTATATCTCTTTTATTTATTTATTATTAACAATTAACAATATTATATTATTATTTTATTATATATAATATAGTTTTCGTCTCACGTAATCTAAAACAACATCATTAATAGTTTCATCTTTGTATAATCGTCACAAAAAATATAGATATAAATAATATCAAAAAGCTATAAAAATAGTTAACAAATATTAAGATATATTAACAAGTACTTCATGAAGTCTTATTTGATCTAATGTCAGTTTAACATTTCCAAAATCTCTATATAGAGTATTGGTTGGATATTGAAGGTGTCTTCATCTAGTGCAAGTGAAAATATTATTATAATTTTATGAATTTTTCATATATTACTAAATTATTTTTATTTAGCATTAGAACATGTCGCAACTAAGAATGTACATATTCACAAGCATGTTATGTTATCTTAATGTCCGAGTTAGTAGGAAGTCAACTAAAGTGTTGTATACTCAACTTTAATTTTATTTTAGAACCTTCAATTTAGTTTGATCTGGTTCAATTGTCTAGTAACTATTTACACATATCTTGCAATGCTAAAATATTTATATTAATAAAATCAATCACTGGTAGATCATTAATTCATAGGCTAAGTAATATAGTAATATTTTTTAATGTTATTGTGCATTTTTCATAAAGAAAATGAAATATATATATTTCTAATATCCAACATTCAACAAATGAATTTACAAGGTTATCATTTATATACATTTGGCATATTTGTGTAATACGATCAAGTCTAGCATTTCATAAAATATAATTTATTTTAGGTTTAGGTGGCATTATCGATAAGTGATGAGATCATAGTACTCTCATTACTTGAAATAAAAAAATATTAATCACTAAACTATAAAATAGATATATACCAAAATAAAAAATTATTGCAGCATATCAAAAATGATATATTTCTACTTAATTATACCGACACAAATTTAATCAATTATTTATTCATTACCTTTTATTGATTAAAATTAGTGTTTAAGAACTTAATTTTATTTATTATTTATAAATTCTACATTAAATAATTTTATCAAAAAAGGAATAATTTTAAATAAAAGTAATTAATAAATTAAAAAGATGTGCTATACTTATTATTTATTATGTTAAAGTTGTCTTAAATTATTGTTTTTATATTATACAATTTATAATATTAAAATTTCAGTATTAATAAAATTGTTATATCTTTTTTAATTATTTAATTCTCATTAAAATTAATTCACAAAATAAAAAAAATGTGCTATACTTATTATTTATTACGTTAACTTTGTATAATATTATTATTTTTATATTATATAATTTCTAATATTAAAATTTCCATATTCATAAAATTATTATGTCTTTTTTAATTATATTAATTCTCAATAAAATAAATAACAAAATAAAAAAAAATGTGTTATACTTATTATTTATTACGTTAACTTTGTCCAAAATTATTATTTTTGATTATACAATTTCTAATATTAAAATTTCAGTATTTAATTAAATTATTATATCTTTTTTAATTATATTAATTCTTAATAAAATTAATTAACAAAATAAAAAAAAAATGTGCTATACTTATTATTTTTACGTTAACTTAAACTAAAATTATTATTTTTATATTATACAATTTCTAATATTAAAATTTTAGTAATTAATAAAGTTATTATATATTTTTCATTATATTTATTATGTTAACTTTGTCCAAAATTATTATTTTTATATTATACATTTCTTAATATTAAAATTTCAGTATTTAACAAAATTGTTATATATTATTTTTATTTCTTATAAGTTATAACATTAAAAACTTTAAATTACAATATTTACTTTTTACTATTTAAGAAAATTATTATTTATATTATGGATTTTCTAATATTAAATCATTAAATAATTATAATTTATTATCAATAAAATTAAATTAAAAAATTATAATTAGTTAAATAACTTGCATTAATTAAAAAAATTATTTATTTACATTTTAAATACGTACACATTTTAAATATATTTGTACGAATCCCTAGTTGCAACAAGAATCATGTTAATAGAATTTCTAAAACAATTGTTTTTTATAAAATTTATCTAACTCTCTAAAAATATTTGTAATTTTTTCTCTTCTATTTTTCTCCACTTCCATTTTCGTATCCTTCTTCCCCAACCTTCTTCTCTACCCTTGAATCTGTTATAATTTTCTTAATCTATTATGTAATTTCCATTTTGTAATGACTATTATGAAATCACCATTTCCCATTAGATCTTGAATTACGTTGTTCTCACAACACAATACATGGTTCTCATACAATTAAGGGTTTAGAGAACACTAACATGAATCCATTGTTCCTTAATGTTATCTCTCTTTTTGATGTCGTTGATCCCTTTGTATCTTCTCCAACTTTTCCTTCCTCTTTTAGCTCCTCTAAGATGGTTGAGAGAAAGTTCCTTTCTTGCGTTTACTGTGAGTACACTTAGAGACCGTGAAAGTGATAGAAAATAGAGAATGCCGTAACCCCTATTTGGTAACTGCTCTTTTATT